ATGCCCTATGAGCGTCCATAGAAAACTCGTTACCAAAAACCACGAGATGATGAGAGGTTATTAGCGTAAAAATTATTAAATAAAAATATATCAAAAACTTAACAAGTATATTTTGTTTAGCCCCTCCCCCCCTTACATCAGATCCTAGCTACGCCCTTGCATACAATGGCATACATTTTTTGTCATTTTGTTTTTTTTTTTCAAAGTATTTACGAATTGTTAGCTACTTGATAAGGTTTGAATAAATCTGTGGTAGGTTTCTTTGTAAAAATTAAGGAAAAGGCGTTATTTGATCAAATATATGGATCCATCCTGGGAGATCGATTTATTTTTTGCCGATTTCTTCCAGCATTGATTATTGTTATTTCGATTCAAATCGATTAAAAAATCGATTTTTTTTTATTTCGATCTGACATCCCTACTTGTGACTAGTATCGTCCTAACTCTAATAGTTTGATTATATTTAACTTAACAACTATAACTCCGCGCGACAAAAACCAAAAAATTTCAAATCACACGAAAAACTGAATATGTCCACGAAAGTAGGTACTAAATATATGTATGTAGTAAAACTGCGTTTTTAGTTTTTCTATCTCTGTAGAACAAAAAAAAAATTGATTCCGCCACAAGAACGAATAGGTATTGTAAAATGCTTTTCCATTATTTTTATATTTTAGAGTTAACGAAGTTAAATGGACGAAATTCGAGGATTGCAAATTTTCAAGGATGTCTAATGATAAAAATTTAAAAGGATATTTTCAATACTTATTCGTCCTTGTGCTTGAAAAGAACGTGCCATTTTCAATTCTACATAATTTCCACTTTTTTGACCCATATTTCTATTCTACATTGCACTAAACTTTTTTAAATTATTTATTGAATTAATCATGTCATTGAAATTTAAAAATCCTTTAAAAAAATCCTGAAGTCAGAGAGAGAAACTAAAACCACAGCTATCTAATATCTGGCCCTTTGTTTCGCGAGGATATTGAATTTTAGATGTGTAAAGTTTACTGTCGCGCGGTGTAATGGCATTCAAAACATTTTTGCCGGAGAGGGTGCTGAAGTACGGTTCACCGTTCAGCTCTTCACAATTGATTTTGTTCTGAAGCCAACAGCTGGTGCTATTGTTTCCAAATACGATTTTGAGGGCTAATAATACATGCGATTCGCTGCAAACGCATACAAAGAAGAGCGCGGCAACCCGAATCATCAAGTCGTTCGGACATAAAATCAAAATCAGTTTGATTCGAACAAAGAGTGTGCGTGAGTGTGTTCCATAAAAGCATGAATTTCTTATGAAATAAAGCGCAGGAGATCGTAAGTAATAAAATTTAAAAAAATCAACGCCGGTTTTGGTAAATTGTACTTGTGAACTTCATTAGAATAAGATTAAAAAATTTAAAATTTTTATTAAAAATTGTTGTATTTTCCTAAATTTTGTATTAAATTTGAAACTTATATATATGTTTTTGGGTAAAGTTTGGACTATAATTTTATAGAAAAACTAGCTTTTTCCGGCGGGTTTCCCCCCACGTCTTTATACAAATATGAAAAATGGACATAGATGCATTTTCCAATGCAATTAACATAAATTTTATTATCGATAAAAAGTTGGGTTTTATTTTAAGGCATTCTTGTTTATTGTCATTGTGAAAGCTAAGCGAACTGGAAACTGAAGTTTTTTAAATTGCAAAGGCATATCAGAAGGAATTAAAGGGGTCACGTGAGTTGTGGTTCCGAAGTTATACCTGAAGAAAACGTCCACGCCCATGTTATGTGCTACTCCCCCTTTTACAAACTCATTTATATATACCTTACTATAAGCAACTACCATAGATATGCTTGCATACCAAATTTCAGGTTCAGGTGACTTATGGGTCCGAAGTTATGGCTGAATAAAAATTCCATGATTATGTGATGAGCCACGCCTCTTCAACAAACTCATTTATTTATATCTTACTATAAGAACCTACCATAGATATGTCTACTTACTAAATTTCAAGTTCGTGTGACTTATGGTTCCGAAGTTATGGCTGATTAAAACTTCAAAGCCTACTGGATGTGGCACGCCCCCTTTTATAAACTCATTTGTATAAGCCTTACCATAAGCACCTACCATAGATATGGCCTCATATCAAATTTCAAATTCATGCGACGTATGGTTCCGAAGTTATAGCTGAAACAAAATTTCACGCCTACGGTATATGCCACGCGCCTTTTTAGAAACTAATTTATATATACCTTACCATAAGCGTCTCCCATAGACATGTCTTCGTACCAAATTTCAAGTTCTTTTGACTTATGGTTCCGAAGTTATAGCTGAAACAAAATTCCACGCCCAAGGGATGTACCACGCCCCCTTTTATAAACTCATTTATATACACTTTACTATAAGCGTCTCACATAGACATGTCTTCGTACCAAATTTCAAGTTATTTTGACTTACGGTTCCGAAGTTGTAGCTGATTAAACATTTGCAGGCCTATTGGAGGTGCCATGCCCCATTGCGGAATTTACGACATATTTGCAAATAAAACCATACCTATAACCTTCCCGAGGTAAAAACAAATAAATCTGTAAGGTTTCGTGCGATTCCATGTCGTGGTTCAAAAGTTATAAGGTAATAAACAAACAGACATTCACATTTATATACATACTAGCAGACCCGGCGAACTTCGTCCCGCCCAAAATTTTTATATATTTTATTGAAACTTTTTGGTCCAACATTTTCACCAACAATTCACGTTTACGATTTTCACATTTGTCTGCTAAGATTAAGGTTTGGTGGTCATTTGCCGCTTTAAATAACCTAAGGAAAGTGTTATATCCGTGAAGAAGTTCTTAAAATTCTCCAGTTGTGCGGAATTTCATAGCACGGTTATTCGCAAAGCGAAATACATTTTTATACCTTTCATGAGCATGAAATGGTATTATAACTTTGGTCCGATGTTTGTAAGTACCAGAACAAAAAGAGATAGACCCATGAAAATGTATACTTATATGATCAGAACGTCGAGCTGAGTTGATTTAGCCATGTCCGTCTGTCCGTCTGTCCGTCTGTCTGTCTGTTTGTATGCAATCTAGTCTCTCAGTTTTCGAGATATCCGGATCAAATTTGGTAGGTGGGTGTATTTCTATAATGTATTAATCATTTGTCGGAACCGGAAGAATCGGACCACTATAACATATAGCTCCCATACAACCGATTGTTCAGATATGAGATTTTTCGTTATAACTTCTCCATTTATGCAGCTACGAACATGAAATTTTGCAATACTTGCACCCATTATCAACAGAATACTTACAGTGAAAATTACAAAGATCGGGTCACTATAACCTATAGCTCCCATACAACTGATTGTTCAGATATAAAATTTTGCGTTATAACTCCTCCATTTATATAGCTAGGAACATGAAATTCCGCACTGTTTTCAATAATTATCAACAGAAAGCTTACAGTGAAAATTAAAAAGATCGGGTAACTATAACCTATAGCTCCCATACAACTGATTGTTCAGATATGAGATTTTTCGTTATAATTCATCCATTTATGTAGCTAGGACCATGAAATTTCGCGCTGTTTTCACTCATTATCAGCAGAAGACTTACAGCGAAAATAACAAAGATCGGGTCACTATAACCTGCAGCCCCCATACAACTGATTGTTCAGATATGAGGTCTTTTATCATAACTCCTCCATTTATGCAGCTAGGAACATGAAATTTCGCACCATTTTCACTCATTATTAACAGAATACTTACAGTGAAAATAACAAGGATCGGGTGACTATAACATATTTGTATCTTCCATACATCTGATTGTTTAGATATGGGATTTTACGGTAAAACTCCTTTATTTGAACAGCTAAAACCGATAAATTTCGTAAGATATTTTATAAATAATAATACAAAGTCTACTGAGAAAATCGTCAAAATCTATTCTGTATAAGCTTTATCTCCTATAGCACTGATTGTTAAGATACCAGTTTTTGCCATATATCTCCTTTATGTACGAAACTAAACCCAATAAATTGTGTTACCGGTTTACATACCGATCACATAGCGGTGAAAATCACTTAGATTGGTGTCATATAAAGGGTATCTTCCATACCTCTGATTGTTTAGATGCGATTTTTTATATAAGTATGTAACTCCTCTATCAATGTATGCAGATGTATTCAAAAGCAGTAATCTGTCAAAGTAAAATTTGCAGATGTTCATGAAAGGTATGAAGCCTTCGGCATAGCCGAAGACAGCGCTGCTCTTACTTGTTTCCTCTTCACTCCCTGCCGGCAACAATGATCCGGTTTTATAGTGAATGTCCTAGAAGCTTTACAGTATAGTAGGTGGCAATTTCAAAATGAGTGCGAATCATTGTTCTACAGAAATGCAATATACATATACTTATTTTAGGTCGGCGAAAATCCTCGGACTGAACCCTCCGCGAGGGTGCCGGCTGGAAATGGGCACTACAGAGCAATCCCGTGCGATGTCGGGAGGGTGTCCAGCTAAGATCAGGGATCAGTGCTGTGTGCTTATGCGTTTTCATCGCTATGCCATACGGAAATGGTCTTTGATCGTGGTCTGGAGGTAGGGGCTGGATCAAGGCGTTACGCGTACCGTACTGAGGATCAGCCTGGCTGGGAGCCCCTAAATAGCCCAGTCGCTAACGGAGCCCTCTGGGAACCAGGCCGCACCCGGTTGCATTCGATGGCCTTACCCTGGGTACTGCGGATCTCTGCCCGGGGCCGACGAACCCTTTCTCCGCAACTCGTGGGAATATGAGCGAATTAATCAACAAACCAAAATCAACAAAAACGGAAATTGAGACCGGCACTCATAAAAAGTCGGAAGGGCAGTTGCCCAGACACCATGGGGCCCATGCGATGCAGGGTCCCTCTACTAGCCACGACGTGGCCAGCACTAGTGGGGTACGTAAGCCTCTGGCGATGCCGGGGTCAGGCGTATCCACAAAAGCGGAGAGGAAGAGGGTGGGGGAACCGAAACGGGATTTTCCCGGCACCGGTGAAGGCAAACCTGGCTTGCAGCTTGCAGCCCCAGGGGGCGCCAGAGCTGATGCGCGGGCCCCGCCTCCCCCTACTCCTACGGCATTTACAAGGCCTGATGACAGGCCACCACCAAGCGCAGCCATTGCCAAGCACAGGAAGGCTGCCATGAGGATCTTGAAGAGATCCGCATTAACCCCGGACCTATGTAGCAGGGCGCTGCCCTGTCACGTGGAAGAGATCCGGTCGGAGATAGCGTGGGCAATGACGATAGTGCCCGACTATCAGCTGCCGGTGCTCGGAGAGCCACCAGCTGCGGAAAAGCGCAATAGATCGATGGAGGTTGCGCAAAATAAGTCGAAAAGAGCCAGGACGCAAGGCCCCACCTTTGCTGAGGTAGCCAAAAATCGGATCCTCCTGGGTGTGCTCGATGAGAACCAGGGAGACGAATTGGCACTGAGAGCTCATTGGAAATGGGTTAAAGCGGAATTGGCGAACATCTGCGTCAGCGTGCTTCGGGAGCACCCCGGACCACCTCCGATATGCCGGGACGCAGGTTGGTTCCAAGGTAACGTAAAGATCGTCGCGTGCGACGATGAAAGGTCGGCGGGCATGTACAAGAAGGCGATGGCCATGCTGGGAGAGGTCTACCCCGGAGCGATGCTACGGGCTGTGGACTTCAAGGACATCCCATCCAGGCCCAGAGCAAGGGCATGGATACCGGCCAAACCGACCGAACCAGAGAGAGTGCTTGAGATTATAAGGCTCTTTAATCCCGAGTTACCCTCTCACAATTGGAAGGTGGTGCGGCTAGAGCACAGCACAAAGGCGACTCGTCAGGCGGTCCTTTTGCTAAATAAGGAGTCGTTGCCACTCCTCGAAAAGACTGGGGGCGTCATCAATTACGGTTTCGACACCGCAAAGATAAGGGTGTACACGAACGACGTGAACGCAGCAAGAGGCAACGAAGTTGAGCCGGAAGCAGACAACAGCGAGGATGAGGTGGACGAGGAATCCAACCAGGCCAATCCGATGGATGACCTGGCTGGTGGATACGCCTCATCTACATCCTCTCTGGGTGTCGACCATATCTTCCGGCAATACACAGAAGAGGAGCTGATGTCAGATGACGACGAGGCGAACTCAACAGTGGTGGAGGGGGTGGGAAGGTGCGGCCAAGATGGTTCGCGTCCTCCAGATTAATCTCCACCACAGCAAAGCAGCGTCGGCTGCACTGCTGCTCCAGCTCTCCAAGGGGGCAGCAGACATCGCCCTCATCCAGGAGCCTTGGGTGATAGGGCATGGAATATGCGGGCTGAAGTCGGCAGAGCACACTTTGATAAGTGGAGCTACCATAGGTAAACCAAGGGCCTGCATCCTTGTTAGTACCAAACTAAAAATATTGTTTCTTCCTCAGTTCAGTGACGAGGACACCACCACCATCAGTCTGGAGGCGAACGGACGACAAATAAGGCTTGCCTCGATGTATCTGGCACATGACAGGCCTGTTCCAACCCTACCGGTCGAACATTTAGTGGAGCGCTGGGACGGGGCCCTGATTCTAGGAGGTGATGCAAATGCACACCATAGCACATGGGGAAGTGGAGACATCAATGAACGGGGTGAGTCACTCTTTGAATTCATACTAAAATCTAACTTAGTTATAAGTAATAGGGGTAGCGAGCCTACCTTCATAACGAAGAGCAGAAGAGAGGTCCTGGATGTTACCCTCGTCTCAGAAGATGCGGAGGTCATGATCAGGAACTGGAGGGTGCTTGATGAGCATTCCTTCTCTGATCATCGCTTCATCCAATTCGACTTAGACGGGGTCCCGTCCAAGGTACCTGCCAAAAGAAATCTAAGGAAAGCCGACTGGCATAAGTACAGAAGAGAGCTTGACAAACGGCTCTCAAGAACCACACTAGCAATTCCAGGAAACTCTAGGGACCTAGATAGGCTGCCAAATCGCTTTACTGCGGCATGTGGCAAGGCTCTGGATCAGGCCTGCCCCATGGTAAAGCCGAGAGGCAAAAAGAAACCACCTTGGTGGAGTACAGAGATTGACGAGGCCCGCAAAAATTGTCGTAGAGCCTTCAATCTCGCAAAATCCTCGGGAGGCGATACGCAATGGGAAATCTATAAGTTAAACTTGAAAGATTACAAGAAACTACTAAGGAAGAGCAAGAGATCCTCATGGAGGAACTTTTGCAGTGGTATGGAATCCGTATCAGAAGGTTCTAGGCTCAGGAAGGTTCTCTCTAGTTCACCTCGTATCGCCCCGGGATGCTTGCTAAGATCCGACGGAGCGTGGACGGAAACTGGGGAGGAATCCCTGGACCATCTTCTGAGCACGCACTTTCCAGGCGCCACCGAGCAGCCATTGAACGGGCCAATAAGAAATAGAGGTCAACCGGTTACGGTAGACCTCATCACCAAAGAAAAACTGATGTGGGCAATAGGGTCCTTCAAGCCTTACAAATCTGCGGGTCCAGATGGTGTTACACCGATTCAGCTACAGCAATCTATGGAGCTAAGCTCTAAATGGCTGTATGTTATTTTTAAGGGAGTCCTCACTCTCAACTACATTCCGGAGACCTGGCAAAGGTCAAAGGTTGTCTTCATTCCTAAAGCGGGAAAAACATCCCATACTCGCGCCAAGGATTTTAGACCTATCAGTCTATCATCCTTCCAGCTCAAGATATTGGAGCGACTGATTGAATCCTTTCTTAGGGAATCGGTTGCAGATAAGCTTATGGCTTCGCAGCATGCCTATATGAAGGGGAAGTCCACCGAAACAGCGCTACACGAAATCGTGTCGCATATTGAGAAATCCCTTGCGATAAAGGAATACACCTTGATAGCATTCTTAGACATTGAGGGTGCGTTCAACAACATCACACCTGAAGCAATCACATCAGCTCTAACTGGTCTGGACATCGACTCACGGCTGGTGTCGCTTATACGACAGCTGCTAGTTGGCAGGGTCGTGCGGGCGGAACTGGCGGGCGTGTCGCTGGACAGATACGTTTGCAGGGGAACCCCGCAGGGTGGGGTCCTCTCCCCCCTTCTTTGGGTCATGGCGATTAATGAATTATTGCAGACCCTGGAAGGGGCGGGAGGCTCCAAGGTCATAGCGTATGCTGACGACCTTGCGGTGGTTGTGAGTGGAAAATTTCCACAAACTCTTTGTGACATTATGCAGGACAGACTAAGGTTAATCGAGAGATGGACCAAGGAAAAAGGTCTGGGTGTTAACCCAGAAAAAACGGACCTGGTGCTCTTTACCAGGAAGTACAAAATCCCCTCACTTCAGCTCCCTGCCATAGGCAATAAGATTCTGAAGCTAGGGGAGTCTGCAAAATATCTAGGCGTAGTCCTGGACAAAAAGCTTAACTGGGCGCAAAATATACAAGAGCGTGTTAAAAAAGCGACGGTAGCCCTCTACAGTTGCAAGGGGGCGATTGGGCGTAGCTGGGGGCTGTCCCCTAGCATCATGTATTGGTTATACACGGTAGTTGTTAGGCCGATTCTATTATATGGGGTCTTGGTATGGTGGCCAAGTCTCAACAGGAAATCTACAACAGAAGCACTCCAAAAGGTGCAAAGAACTGCGATGCTCTGCATCTGTGGGGCCCTGCGCACAACTCCATCGGAGGCTATGTGCGTGCTCCTCGATATTTTACCAATTGAAATTGTTGGAAAGCAATCAGCGGGGTGTGCCGCCTTGAGGTTGAGGGAACTACCAGGCTGGAGGGACACTCAGGAAGGCCACACCGCAATCTTAAAGGACATAAATATACCGGACACGGATTACTGTGCACCAAGGTTGAACTTCACAAAGAGGTATAGGATTTCCATTCCAGATAGAAAATTCTGGTCAGGAGGGGCTCCCGATGACAATGGATCACTCCACCTCTACACCGATGGCTCTAAGCTGGACGGCAAGGTAGGAGGGGGGGTCTTCTCGGCCCGACTGGGGCTGGAAATATGTTTTCGCTTACCCAACCACTGCAGCGTCTTTCAAGCTGAGGTCGCTGCCATACAGGAAGCGGTTGAACACCTACGTACAAGAGAAGTCATTTATAACGATATCTTCATCTACTCAGACAGTCAGGCCGCACTCAAAGCGCTCGACTCGGTCACATGCAGTTCAAAAACCGTAGCGGACTGTCGCAGATCTCTAAACGAGATGGCTGAGCAGTCTGCTCTTCACTTGGTATGGGTTCCGGGGCACCGGAACATACCAGGCAACGAAAAGGCGGACGAACTTGCAAGAGAGGGCACATCCGCTCCACTTTCGCAGGCCTGGAAGGGATTAGGCATGCCGCTCGCTACCTGCAAGCTCATTCTAAGGGATCTGTCTCTTAAACTAGCAAGGGACAGGTGGGATAGCCTCACCACTTGCAACAACACGAAGCTTACATGGCCTAAATGGGACAAAAAGCGGTCGAAGGATCTCCTCATGCTGAGCAAAGGAGACCTAGCCGCAGCTGTGGGTCTGCTAACAGGCCATGTTGCTATCGGGGGGCACGCGGAGAGGTTAGGGATCCCCCATAACGACTTCTGCAGAAGCTGCAGAAATGAGGAAGAGCCAGAAACCTTGCGGCACCTGTTATGCGAGTGCCCCGCACTTTGTAGAAGAAGACAAAAGTTCATGGGTTCAGGATTCTTTGAGGACCTAACCGACATAGCCGAAGTAGGCATACGGCAACTTCTGGGTTTCGCAAAATCCACACGTTGGTTTGAGTAGGAGGGTTCTAACGATCCGCGTGGTATCACAACGGGCCCACAACCTAGGGCCTATGTGTGCTAGTGGGGTCACTGGCAGCCACTTTAACCTAACCTAACCTAACCTATACTTATTTTAGACGAAATACCTTAAAAGTTTGAACGTATAATAATATTGGAAAATCACATCCATTGGGCCAATTGCAACGCAGGAGCGTTCGATATACTCATTGGTGCAACAGGTCGATTTAAACTGACCTTCACGGCCCCTTTTCTCACTTGGCTATTTTTAGTAATAGCTCGACTTCAGCACCACTTGGCAGCACGTTTTTGCAATAGTATTGCATACATATTTAAAACATTAGCCAAATCGGATCATAAATAAGATTTGTAGTAATAACTCTACTACAGCGCCAACTGTCGGATTAAATTGTGAAATTAAACCATCCAGAGACCCACTAGAATACACAAAAAGTTTCGTTAAAATCCGTACAACCATCTAGGAGGATTTCACTCACAAACACACCTACAGAAGAATAAAAAAATTCATTCAAAGATAGCTAAAGGTCGGTACATTTGTAGGCCTCACACCCCTTTTCAAATAGCCCAAATTTTCTCCATAAGTATGGGCTTGATTTCAACTATATACATATCTCGATACGAAGTTCCAGTACTGTACCATGAATACTTTCAGAGATATGCAGTGCAAAAATTCGATTTATATGGGAGGTGCCACGCCCCCCTTTCCAACAGCTGCCCTCTTTCTTCATGAGTATGCGATTGATTTCGTATATCTCCATACCAAGTTCCAGAACTCTACCAAGAACACTTCCAAAGATAGACAGTATGAAAAATTCGGTTTGTATGGAAGATGCCACGCACCCTTTTCCAATAGTTCCAATTTTTCTCAAAGAGTATGCGATTTATTTCGTACATCTCCATACAAAACTCTAGAACTCTACCAAAAAAATTTCCAGAGATAAGCAGTATGAAAAATTCGGTTTGTATGGGAGATGTCACACCCCTTTTTACAATAGCTAAAATTTTACTCCAAGAGTATGCGATTGATTTCGTATACCTCCATACCAATTTCCAAAACTCTACCATGCACACTTTCAGAGATATGTAGCATGAGAAATTCGGTTTGTATGGGAAGTGCCACTCCCCCTTTACGTATAGACTTTTTCCAAAAAATCGGTTCAGCTGCTCTCGAGCCTTGGGAAAACTAACAAACGGCTTTCTTAATATATATTAGTTGAGAAATATTATATATTATTATTATATTTTGACAGAATCCGTTGTTTCTGATTGGCGCAAAAAAATCTTGCCTAGTGCCGAATTCGCCCCTTGATATGGTCGTTACTTAAAGCTATTTATATTCGAAATTGCATGAAAATTTGCAATTTTGCTTATCCAGGCAAAAAGCTACCTACGTACCGAATTTTAAGCAAATCGGACCATAAATGCGATTCTTCGAACAGATCGGTCCCTGGTCCACTTCTCGGACAAAATGGATCATATATGCTAATATATACTAAAAAGCTACCTACGTACCGAATTTTAAGCAAATCGGACCGTAAATACGATTTTTTCGAATAGATCAGTCCCTGGTCCACTTCTCGGAAAAATGGACCATATATCCTAATATATGCTAAAAAACTACTTACGTACCGAATTTTAAGCAAATCGGAGCATAAATGCGATTTTTTGGAATAGATCGGTCCCTGGTCCACTTCTCGGAAAAAATTTATCATATATGCTAATACATGCTAAAAAGCTACCTGCGCACCGAATTTTAAGCAAATCGGACCGTAAATTCGATTTTTTCGAATAG